GGCTGAGCGGCAGCCATTACCTTTCCGGGTCTGAATTCGGGGAAGAGCTCGGTGACGTTGGGCAACTGTTTGGTGGCGTCTCTCTGCATGATCCCGGCCAGTGGTAAGGTCAGCATGCGCTCCTTGCCGTCACCCTGCCCGCGCTCCTGGGGGCCGATCTCAGACTCCGAATCCGAGGAACTGCTGAAGTCCACCTTGTCCACACTGGCCGATGACGGGGCGATGATGGACGGCAATATGATCCCATCTCCATCCTCGGGGGCTGAAAGACAACGCATTGTTCCTTCACATGGTCCCGTGTGTCATACATGGGGGGGAGACACAGATTCCCACCAACTACCCTGGCAACCAAAGCCCCTCCCCCACCTGAAATCAGCATTCTGTGTGTGTGTCCTGATGGTGACCGGAGGATAGTAGCCAGGAAGTGGATGCCGAGACTTCCTGTCCCTTTTCCCCTTGGCCCGCCACTTACCTGCAGATGGCGGCCCTTTGTCATCGTCCCTTTTGCCCGACACCGGTGGGGGAGGGGGAGGCGGCATGAGCTTGGAATCGATGTCTTCGCAATCGGCGTCGTAATCGTCATCATCGTCATCTGTAAACATCAGATACAAAATGATTACAATGTTTCGGGATATCGGCCCCTCCCCCGGGCGGCATATCCATTCATAACAATGGAAGGTTGTGGTCACGTGACCACGGCAACGCCGCCACTGAGGTCTGGCTGCGTGAGGAGATCTTTGGTGCACCACTGATCACCACGCACCACCGCTCTGGGACTTCACCTCTCATGGAGCTGAGTGGTCACTGGTGGGATGGTGTACTAAGAGGCTCTGCCACTGGCATCATGACCTTGGACTATAGGGGGCGTGTCCATGACAGCCGTGTCAGGGAGGAAGGAGCTGAGTGACGCCTGGTGTCAGACAACCTGGAAGTACACAGGACGGCTCATATCCCCCCCTGAGGATCCGACACTGATAGAAAGGAGACGAGGCTCCGGGATGACATCATCATCATCTACAGGGCTCAAAATTTCCACTCGCCTGCTCGCATTTTGCGAGTAAAAATAAAGGTGAGGGTGAGTGGAAATTTGGGTCTCCAAGTACCGGCTCGCGGTCCAACTCTGGGAAGCGTATTATTTTATGGCGGGGGGGTTA